ACGCTTATCTAGTAGTCCAAGTTCCTCTTCATCCCTTCTGGTGTGTGGGTGGCAGTGGATAGTAGAGGTGGCGATCGGGATGGTCCTAGTCGTCGTTCTTGGTACGGCTGTGGTCACTGTGGTCGTGACATTTTCTCCAAACCAGTCTAACCTAAAAATTAGTTTTGAAACGGGTAGTTAAGATGATCTGACTTACGGTCTATGATGAGAACTCCTTCTAAAGTAGTTGAAGAAACACAATTTTTCTTAGAATAGCTCAGGCAGGTGGTATAGTTGACAGTTTTTGTTTCTCCTGAAATGTATTCAATTGTGTGTTAATCATGACCTCGGGTATTCCTTACCGTAAGGAGGAATTGAGGTGATAGTAGTGTAAGTTGTTGGGATACTCGTAGTGACGGTCTTAGTCTAGTTTCACCATGTTGAGTTATATGTAATTGCATATATCTCAAGAATACCCACAGCGTAGAGGGTCGTTACTCCGCAAGTAGGACCGTAGCCCATGTTGTTTGGTTTTGGACTTGTCGAGTATCCATTTGATACCCATCCCTCAGCTATTTTTATGTCATTGCGCTTATATGTCGGATAAAATGTACCGATGCCGGCAGAAGCTTTGTACGAAACTGTCTATGGAGCCTTCCAGTATGGAGGACGGGTGTGGTGTGAAGGTTGATCCGTCATAGTTGCTCTTGATAAGGATAAGGCATTATAAGATACTCCATGAGAAGGCGTCCTCTTCCTTTGCCCTATTCCTTTGGGGTTTGAATAATTGCGTATCGTCTTGGAAAAAGCCTGCCGAGCCCACTATGCACTGGCGCACAGCACCGGCAACCAAACGCCTGATACAATTCAACATGTGGACGAAAGTCTGATGGACATTCCCATTGGGACGACGGGTAGGTCTTGTGATTGTGACAGCGTGTCTTCACAAAGTCTATTTCTCTCACCCTGAGAGTGGATTGTTTTGGTCGATATCAGAAGCTTTGTAGGCAGTGATTTGACTGCGCACACTTACAAATTGTAGGTTGGATAGACCGAGAGCGTGCCGAGCTACTTCCTCGTACAGGCAGCGTCTTTGCCTGACAAAATCAGGTCACACAAATCAGGTTTTCGAAGTCCTCTTTATTTCCATTTCTCAGGATATACAGTCAGAGGTAGAGATCATTTGAACGGTACAACATGGCCGCAGGATGAATGCGGTTGGGGAAAGAGATAAGTCTCTGAGATTGGTCGAACTCATTCGATTGGACAAAAATGCGCTAAAAAGCTCATTTTGAAGAGTTGATACAAGATATGCCAATCCAAGAATACATCATGCATGACTCTCTCGAGCACGTCGTTTCGTCTCCTTTTTCTTAGCATCTTGTATCGCTATCCTCTTTCGTTCGAGTGTCGCTTTCTAAAACACAGTAAAGGAAAGGTGTCAGCAAATATTACATAACATGAAGGTTGTACGATCGCATCAAAGGATATGAAGGTGGATAAAGTCCTGGGGAACATTGATAAATAAATCTCACCTCGGCTTCTCGTTTTCTCTCACTATACTTCATCTTCTCGTACAACTTCCGTTGTTTGTTGCTCATCATCATCTTGTTCATCTCCTTTTCGGCATCCTTCGTGACAGCACCGACTTCTTTATCGGTCTTGTTCTGGTCTGAATGCTTTGTTGCCTTCTTCATGACCTTTTCGAATTCTGCATAGTCCAAGCCAGCTGCTTCTGCTTCTAGCTCTGCATTGCGTATCGCTTCTGCGTCGGCTTTCTTTAGATCACTTTGAACCTTCTTGAGTGCCTTGTCTTTTTTCTTGCCCTTAGCCTTGGAAGGGGGCTGCTGCAGGGTTTCAGACGCATCGGAATCTTCCTCCTCTTCGTCTGGTAATTCTTCTCCTTCAATAATCTCC